TGGAGAGGATGCAGCGAATAGGGAATACTTCTACACTACTGGTGGGAGTGTAAACTAGTACAGCCTCTGTGAAAACAGTGTGGTGATTCCTAAAAGATCTAAAAACCAACCTTCCATACAATCCCGCAATCCCCCTCCTGAGAATATACCCAGACAAACTCAACTCACTCTATGAAAAAGATACCTGCACACGTATGTTGATTGCAGCATGATTCCCAGTAGCAAAAACATGGAACCAACCGTGCTGCCCATCGAAAGTAGACTGGATTAAAAAAATGTGGCACGTATACATGATGAAATAGTACACAGCCATAAAGAAGGACAAAATCATGAACTTCACAGCAACCTGGATGAACTTAGAGCCTATAATACTGAGCAATCTATTACAGCAACAAATAACTAAGTATCACATGTTCTCACTCATAAGTGGACCTTGAACAATCATTGTAATACTAAAATAAAAGCATTGGCAGCAGTGGGAATCTGTGAGGGGGGGTCAGGGGAGGGAACACCTCATCATCAAGGGTACCTGCATAATGAATATTTGTATGCCTAAAGAATTGTACCCCATATCTTTAAAATAAAAAAATTAAAAGGAAAAAACAAAGATAAATAGGCTATTTGAAAAAAAAGAAAATGTTTGAGAGTGTTGCAGCTGAGTAAATATTAAAGAAAAACAAGAAATACTTTAGGTACAATAACTAATAACAAGCCGCAGTGCAGGCAACAGCTTTGATTTTAATAACTTGTAATCCCTATTACTTGCCAAAAGACACGGGGAAGAAATCCCCTCAGTAAAATTCAGAAATTTGATCACCAATCAAAAATCCCCCCATAACTAAACCACAGATGGAAATTCAGGTAAAAACAAAAAATTACCCTGGCCCATTGTTAACACGCCAGTACTATCTACAAACACAGTTGTTTAAACACAACAGATTGCCATTACTCAGCAGGTTCATTAATCACAATTCAGCTTGCTATTAGGAGAGAAAATTACTGGTGTTGTTAAATTTCCACCCCATTACCTTGACTTTTATTTACTGCCATTCACCAACGATTTCTTCCTTCATTAGAAGTCACAAGTTAACTAAGCCACAAAGTCATCCAAGAAACACAGTACACTTGATGACATCTTGGAAATGTGAATGCTTCGTGCAATTTTGTAAATTCGCAAAGTTTCTTAAGCATTTCAGGAATCTGTTCAAGACAATTCTGAAGGCTTTGTGTCAAAAATCATTAGGTGTAGACATTTCAAGTAGTGCTTAAGGCAAACTCTTGCAGTAATGCTTTTCTATAATTGGACCCCTCGGTTTTTGATACTCCTCTCTTTAAGGAATTGTAATTCCTTGCCTTAACGGAAGACTGCCAGCTTCTTTTCATTGCCTTCTCCAGGAATATTCCTTTCCAACAAAGCCACTTGCCAGCCCTCCACAAGAAATGTTCAGGGGCTCCACGTTCAGGATTGGTTCTGAGATAGACTATCCTCAAAGGTAAAACTGAAATTGTAAACAATATTAACCAGTCAACAAATATTTATTGACTACTGTTCGTGGGAACAGCAGCCACTAAAGAGAATCTAGCAAAAAAAGACAAGTCTTCTAAAACTTTGTACTCTGAATGGGCTATAATACACATGTACAATACACTAAGAAAAGCTAACTCTAATACCGAGTGGCAGACTGTTCGTGCTAAATGAATGTTGCATGTAGGAACTGCCATAAGACTCTGATCGCTCCCTGTGGACTACAAGGACAAAATGATTGGGCCATCCTCCCAGATAAGAGGGGACATGGAGTGGGAATCAGGGGAGGGGAAACAAAACCGTAAGAGGGATGGCCAGGGGCAATCATTTGTATTTCATAGCAAAACAGTGAACCCACACTAAATATAAATCTGTTTCTGTGCACAGTGTCCAGTCTGAATCAGATTAATCTTGACTCAAGCACCTCTGACACTAGTCATTTGGAAAGTGAAGCACACAGAGGTCACCCATGGTTAATTCTCCATTTAGAATCCCAGGCAATAGAGTCATGGCGGGCCCTAGTGGAATTACCATCTATGCTAAGATTGTTCTACTATGTTAACCTCCTCCCATAATCTATCTTGACCAAACTAATTATAAATTATCATTGTTTACAGTAAGGGAGTTGTACTGATTGACATAGCTGGTCCTGACCTATCTCAGATGAATAGATCTGGGGGGCTGATACATTCTTCCATTAAAAAAAATGTGGTCACTTTTTCTGTACCTTAGTTCCAGGTAATTAGGTTCATCTACCCCAGGTGTTGTCAGTGAATCATAAGCGACATATGCTACAGTAGGCATATTGTTGCTATTTCTGGTTGGCCAATGTCCTGATGCGTGTACCACAACCAGGACATTTGTGATGATTTGGTAAGTGTGTGAATGTAAGCTGAAGTAATGAAATTGACTAAGGGATATGGTAGTCAAGAAACACAGCTTCCTGAAGGAGACGTCTGTTGCTTTTGGCTGACCAGCAGTCTTTCCCCTCTTATTTGTTTTGAGTTGGAGTCTCACTCTGTTGCCCAGACTGGAGTGCAGTGGCACACTTTCAGCCACTGCAGCCTCGACCTGCTGGGCTCCGGTGATCCTTCCACCTCGGCCTTCCAAGTAGCCGGAACTACAGGCACGTGCTATCACGCCCAGCTAATTTTTCATTTATTGTAGAGACGAGGTCTCGCCAAGTTGTCCAGGCGGGTCTTGAACCTGCGGGCTCAGGCAATCCATCCGCCTTGGCCTCCCAAAGTGCTGGGATGACAGGTTGAGCCACTGAACCCGGCCTCTTTCCCCTCTATTTATAACAGAAAGTAGTAGCATTCACTGCTCATTTGTACCACTACCACTTGCTCATTCTTTGTAGTCTTGCAGGATAGTCAACCAACGTGGCTTCTTTCTCCCCCTAAGCAAAACTCTTGAAGGAATGTAAATTTTGACAGGAGGGACAAAGGACCAAAATCGATCGGAATGGATCAGGATGATGGCAGTGCCCTGAAACAGACTGTCCACGAGTTCCTACTCTTTAGAGGCCTTGAATTCCAGCCTGATGGACTTGCCTTTCCAGAGGTGTGAGTGGCAAAATCATTGTAAATGATTCCACAGTTTAACATTTACTATTCTTTTTTAAATTTAGCTAAAATGGATTTAGGGGGCATGCAATCAAAGGGGTTTAGTGAATGTACTTTTCTTCCTGTTTCAACTTCAACCAGTGTCAGAGATGGGAAAGTTCAAACCAAACATCATCTGTAGAAAGCATGGGTGACATCACATCACCAATTCTTCTCACAGTGATGGTTTGAGTGTGGTTGATTTTAGAAAAACAGAGGTAAATGGGCCAGGGTGAAAGAACAAAGAGAAGTGGCTTCTGTTCACAAAGGAACAATCCCCTCAGATCACTCATAACAATGAACACTAAAACAGACTGCAACAGACATCACTATGAATGAATTTTGGTACACTCGTATCTCAAGACCAACACCTGCTACTTTCAATTTCACTCACCAAGGAAAAAACCCCACATGTCTATATGCTGTGTCAGGCTTCTGAGTATTGTTGTCACTGTTACATTCGGGATTAGGTAACTAAGAGGACAAAAGCCACCTGACCTCTCCAGCAGAATTCCCTGTCCACTTTCTTCCTTTCTTCTTCAATGACAACTTTTGCAGGGCTCTGAACTACAGGCCACGGGTTCTGCTCCTGATATCACAGGCACTAGAAATTCACTAAAGGAGTTGAGATTTTATGATAAGAAAATTGAGAACCCAATTTACAAAGTTTTGTATAGCAAAGTCCCAGGAAGTGTTATCAAACATCAAATGCAGCACAGACAAGGCATCTTGAGGAAAGTCCAGTGGATTTGATATGAGAAAAAGTTTCTCTTATCCAAAGCACATTTACACGAAGGGACAAGGGGAATGGGTGGATAGAAAGTACAGATTTGGCAGAGAAAATAAGAGGAGACATGGAAAAATAACTGGAAAAAGGAAACAACAATTATTTTTGTTTTTAAGAAAGGTTAGATCTGGACAGATTGGAGACAGAAGGGAAACAGTTGATGGAGAGGAAAAGGGAGGACAGAGCTGGCTTCTTGGGCATGTGGTCTGTGCAGTCAGTTACCCAAGGCCCTGCATTTGGTTTAATGTTCTGGTGTCACTGTCTTGAAATTCTTGAGCCAGGGCCCTGCGTATTCATTTTGCACTAGGCCCAGAAAATTATTGAGGAACAATATTGATCTATGTGAAAGTGCTCTGAAAGGTAAAAGGCATAGCTACCACTATGTGGTAGACTGATTAATGGCCCTCTATAAATGTCCTTGTCCTAATTCCCAAACCTGTGAATATATTATCCTATATGGCAAAAGGGTCTTTGCAGATGTGATTAAATTAAGGATTTTGAGACAAGGAGATTATCCTGGATCATTTGGTGGGCTTAATGCAATCACAGGGTCCTTATATGAAGAAGGCCCATGACAAGGGAAGCGGAGGGAGTGAAGGAGATGTGACCATGAGATGTGAAGTCATGGGCCAAGAAGTGCAGGTGGCTTCTAGAAGCTGGAAAGGGCAAGGAAACACACCGTCCCCCTAGAGCCTCCAGAAAGAATGAGGCCCCATGGGAATGGTCAGATAACAAATTTGTTTTGCTACAAGCCACTAAATTTGTGATAATTTGTTATAGCAGCAATGAGACACTAATACACATTACATAAGCGTAAAGGGATGCGTAGCTAGTTTTGTAGAAATCAAGGATACTAATAAAACTAATCGCAATGACCATTTATTGAGCACCTTCAAGGTGCTGGGCACTAAATTAAACCGTTTCAATATACGAGGGGGGAATTAAGGCCACATAACCACCTGGAATGCATTCCAGTTGGGATCCGGGCCCCACCTTTGTCACCCTAAGTTTTTCTGTGCGTTTAACCCCATTCTCATATTTCATTACAAACTCTGGGGTTTGTGGTTATGCTTTAAAGCGCATTATGCTTGCATGTGTCAACACAGGAGAGGGGGGTGAGACCCGGCAGGACCCGAAATCCACGCCTGGGGGCATAAGCAACGCAAGAGGTGCGGAGGCCACCTCGACAGATCGCCAGGGGCTTCCAGGGGCTTCCAGGGGCTTCCAGGGGCCCCACTGTAGATGCGAGGCCGCGGAAAAGCGCCGGAGACAAAGCGCCTCGGAGCGAAAGCCAAAGATGCCGCGCGGTTCCGACTCAGATCCGAGCCGGGCGAACCCCGGAGCCCGGCGGCTGTGCGCGTCCCGGAGCCGCGACGCGCCCGGCAACCACGGGG